TGTTATTACACACACAGTTGATATGATCAAGTATCACATCAAGTCAACTTTGACTTAAACATAACCGATTCCGTTAATGTTCATCATCAACTATGTGATCAGGTTAGGCTTATTGTACTCTGAGTAGAACCAACAGTTAAGAGTGTGAGGTTCTTTGATCATCTTCCTGATATTTACAGTTACTTTTATAGGAACTATAAAGAGACAATTACGTTATCTTTATGATGTTGCCAGAAAGGTCACTTTATGATACATGATATAGCATATGAACCTTAGGAAAACTTGGCCCTTGTCACACATAGCCACATCAGAGGGAATGATCCATAAATTTACGTCAATTAAACCTTTCTGACTGACTGACTGATGATCCGCTTTTAGCAATATTCCAGCAATATCACGGCGGGGGACACCAGAAATGGGCTTCACACATTGTGCCCATGTGGGGAATCAAACCCAGGTCTTTGGCATGATGAGCCAATGCTTTAACCACTAGGCTACCCCACCGCCCCAAACCTTTCTGCAATAATTATTGGGACTGACAGATAAATGTTTTGTTCAAGGCCATACTAAGCTATATTAGTAGCGGCCAGACTGGGCCAGACAAACAAGTGGTTGACATTAAGAGCAACCTTCCTCTCTGGGGATACAATAACATGCAATCAACTAAGTCACTCACTCTGACACCTGATCCATTGAGCCACCTTGTTCTATAAGCATATGCTACTGTGATAGAATCAAACCTTGAATTCCCATGAGGGTTGGAAGCAGTTATAACAATGAATTGTAAAATCCTATATGTTCTCAAGCTGCTTGTTTTACAGATGAATATATTTAACATGCTTTATTTGGGCTTCTTGGAATTTGCATTGATGCTGCTAAATATGATTAGCTTTTATACATCATGGGGCACGGTGGGTGAGCTGGCTAAGGAGCCAGGCTAGTGATCCAGCGAGGTTGAGGTGTCTGGGTCGAGCCCACCTGTGACCGGGTGTAAAAACCTTGGAGTCAACTTTGTGTGCAGACTCTTTCAGTGTTGTCACAACCCCTAGTGTACGGTACACAACCCTGTGCACTTAAAAGAATCCACGAATCCGTTGGTATATGACCAAATGGTGGCCACATAAATACGTGCAAACACCTGGTTGCTCGTAAAGCAACGTGCAGTGAACTTGGACAAAGTACTGTGACTATGTGTCCCAGTCCACCCAGCTGTGAATGGGTACCTTGTTAGGATGAGAAAGCCACAATAACACGGTGCGCCTAGTGGCAGCAAGAGTTGTATGATCCCCAGGGAGTTGAGATTGATAATACGATGTGCCCGTTGATATTGACATCCAATGATCGAGGAAATAATACCAGTGCCTTGAGAATGCACTAGTTGCATAGATATGTGTGCTATATAAATATCCTATAATGATGTAGTGTACTATGTATCAAATTAACATCTTAGCTTGAGGATACTAAACCCATCTCTTATTGCTAGTGTTAAATGTCAATAGTAACATGAATTCTATATACAGTTTTATGTATTTTCTGTATGTTTTGTTTGTTTGTTTAGTACTGACATATGACTATGCAACAAGAAAATTGTCTTCTCGCATGAACTTTTACAATTCCCTTTGTTTCGGATGTTTATTTTAATTTTAAAAAAGTTAAATACATTTAAGAGCTATGGGAAGCGCTGATGTGATCACATTGGTCAATATCACAATTCAGAGAGTTTTTGATGCCTCCTACTGCATCAGTGTTGTTGCTGTTTCATCAGACCATATTTCAATTATTTCATAAAAGACAGATTTTGTTTTTTTGTTTGTTTGTTTATTTGGTGTTTAATGCTGCACTTGGCAATATTCCAGCTATATGGTGGTCAGTAAATAATGGAGTCTTCACCAGACAGTCCAGTGATCAATTGCATCTGCGCATTTGGGATACGATGATGTGTGTGTCAGCCAAGTCAGCGAGTCTGACAACCCGATCCCGTTAGTCACCTCTTACGATAAGTATGGGTTGCTAGAGAACTGTTCTAATTTGGATCTTCACGGGTTCATTAAAAAAGGAAACAGGGCAACAAACATAGCTGTATTCTTTATCTTAAGGTGCTTGTGGACCAAATGATGTGAAGTGGAATGTATTTATAGTGAACGTGGTCGTGATAGAATCTACTAGTGAATTCTTTGTGGTTTAATTGAGTTTCAGGTTATAAGATTTCATTGAATTATTCATGAATTAATCTCTTTCATATTTTTCACTTTTTCTAATAAAACATTATCATGCCAACTTTGCCAGTACTGATATCATTTAACAATTAATTAATCTAATTATTCTTCCTTTTAGTGATATTTTACTCTCTACAGAATAAGACATGCCTACTTACGAGATTCAGTTCCCACCCACTTTAACACTTTGGACAAATGGCCTCTCGTCTTTTCAAAGTTAAATTAGATGCTTGTGTGGTCACAATCTTGATTAGCTGGGTAACAAGACCAATTTGTGCGAATGTCTAGATGCCTTGGTTAATGGAATGTCTAGCTATAGTCAATAACAGGAGAGACAGATTGCTGAGTCGGGAGTTCTTACACGAATAATTGCCTTCGTAATGAGGGCGTGTTGGCAAGGCTTACGATGATCCGACTAATATTGATGGTTGCCAGAGCGAGCAAAGCCTGGTTAAGTATGATGATGGAAATTGTATAAAGTGATTAATTATGTAATTAAATATCACGTACCACTCTATAATACTGTAAATGTTTGATACCAGTTTGTTTTTTACATATGCCTTGATTTCATCCATGCGGACAGTTAAACCTGACTTTGTTAATGTATCTTAATCTGTTGGTAAAGTTGTTCTAATATTTAGAAGATAAATCTAAAATAGTGAGTGAGTGTGTTTTTATGCTGCTTTTAGCAATATTCCAGCAACATCACGGCGGGGGACACCAGAAATGGGCTTCACACATTGTACCCATGTGGGGATTCGAACCCGGGTCTTCGGCGTGACGAGCCAACGCTTTAACCACTAGGCTACCCCACCGCCCGATACTGCTGGAATATTGCGGCACAAGACCATACTCACTCACTAAAAATAAGCTAGTGCTGGATAAATTACGTTTTTGTAATGACCAACTGTAATTTTTTTAATACTTAATTTATAGGGTAAAATATTACCCTTCATGCAATGTATACATAAGTATATAGGTAAATATACCTAAAGCCTTCTCACTAAATTGTCTGTAAGCCTGTTTGTGGCCCAGCTCTCTGGATGAAGAAGTACATTTAATCTATGTGATGGAGATATTAGTCATCACCAGTGTCAGCCCAGGCTCTGAACCTCCTACTAACCAGGGATGCTGAGTGTACACATGTTATCATGCAGGATTAGTAACTGTTGAAAAATGGTGGCTTGCTGTTTGCTGGAGGGGAAGCTTTGATATGTATGTAGATTTGTGATCACAGCTGAGCTGGGTTGATACTGATTATATGGGGTCGTTGCCTACAGCACCAATAGTACAATGATTGTCCTAACTCATATACTTAGACATAGACTGACAGTCTGTGTATGTAGAATCATAATTCGAATAAATGGTGCTGTGCTTATCGCTTTGGATTAAAAAAGTGAGTTGGTTGGTGGGTACTGTGTGTATATTTCAGAGATGGAATTTATTTCTGTTGTGATGTGAACTACAGGACAATCCTACAGATGTCCAGCTATGTTATGTAAGATTTAATAAATGATAAATAATATGAGTATTTATGTCGTGCTGAATTCCATGCATAGTGTATGCTCAAACTGCTATAATATCAAGAACATACAAGTGCTGAAACACAGTTTTCAGTGCATAAAAGAACCAAGTGGTTGAATATTTATTTTAGACTTTGTAGTATTTTCTTAAAAGAAAGGTTTTTATAGAACAGGTCAAGATTGCAGGTTAGAACAGGTCTAGATTCCAAGTTATTACAGGCCCAGATTCCAGGTTAGAACAGGTCCAGGTTAGAACAGGTCTAGATTCCAGGTTAGAACAGGTCCATTTTATAACAGGTCCAGATTCCAGGTTAGAACAGGCCCAGGTTAGAACAGGTCCAGATTCCAGGTTAGAACAGGTCCAGGTTAGAACAGGTCCAGATTCCAGGTTAGAACAGGCCCAGGTTAGAACAGGTCCAGATTCCAGGTTAGAACAGGTCCAGGTTAGAACAGGCCCAGATTCCAGGTTAGAACAGGTCCATTTTATAACAGGTCCAGATTCCAGGTTAGAACAGGCCCAGGTTAGAACAGGTCCAGATTCCAGGTTAGAACAGGTCCAGGTTAGAACAGGTCCAGATTCCAGGTTAGAACAGGTCCATTTTATAACAGGTCCAGATTCCAGGTTAGAACAGGTCCATTTTATAACAGGTCCAGATTCCAGGTTAGAACAGGCCCAGGTTAGAACAGGTCCAGATTCCAGGTTAGAACAGGTCCAGGTTAGAACAGGCCCAGATTCCAGGTTAGAACAGGTCCACATTTCAGGTTAGAACAGGTCCAGGTTAGAACAGGTCCACATTTCAGGTTAGAACAGGTCAACATTTCAGGTTATAACTGGTCCATATTAGAACAGGTCCAGATTCAGGCCGGAACAGATCCAGATTCAGACGAGAACAGGTCCAAATCCCAGGCTAGAACAGGTCCAGAAACCTAAACTTGTTTCCCCATGCAGATTCTAGGTTAGAATTGGTCCTCGGAATCTTGTTTCCAACTTGGGATTCTGGGTTGGGAAACGTGTCTTTGTCTCCCATTTGGATTGTTCATCAGAGGAAACTTAATGGATCCAACATCCTGGCTCAGTGACTAAGTTTGTTTCCTGTCATTGTCCCCACATGACATGCATACCTGCACAGAACATCAATGACAATATCAACATTTATGGTCCAAAGACACATTTTACCAGCTGCTGTCATGCATGCTGAATATTGCTGCAGCATTAAACAAAAAAACAACAAACTGTAACTGGGTGTGTCCTATTTTGTAGGATACATGAGTGAGCCATGGAGAAGAACAAGATCAACGGCGCCTCTCTGCAGCTGGAAGACTATGGCGCCACGTCCAAACGCCAGTCTGAGGACAAGGTGAAGATCATGGAAGAAGATGTCCTGGTAAGTTGACAGTAACCATTGTTGCAGCTGTAGAAATATGGAGGTTCTTGCTCCTTGAGGACTTCTGCTGTTGCAGGACCCCTTTTTCAGATTCATAATTTTGATTACCGTATATGACCGACTATAAGTCGGAAATTTGATACCAGAAAATGTAGGTAAAAAATCAGACCCGACTTATACTTGAGTTCATTAATCAAGAAATCGCTACCTATACGTAAATTATGGGATTATTTGACGTATCGTGCTAGGTTATGACCTGTGACAAAAATGCTTCATGCATATATTTTCGCATTAAACATAGTGTCCGAGAGTGAAGATTGAGGCGGCGATACCGATTCGTACGGGGAAAGGGGCCGACTTATACTTGAGTTACATGGTTTTGGCAAGAATTTAGAGGGTTGAGAAAGGGGCCCGACTTATAGTCGGTCATATACGGTATCTTCCCTTTCAGGTTCATGTTTCAGAATAAAAGTCTTAAACAATTTTTGAAAGACTTTGAATCAGATTATCCTTTTGATTGAGGCCTACTCCGGGACTGCTTTTCTTCGCCACATCCTTCTTGCTTTGCCGGAGTCCGAAACTGCCACTTGGAATGTTACTGATATTATGGTGTTGAGAGGATGAAATGTCAGTTCATTACATCCTACATGTTACGAAGACATGAAATTTGCGTTATTATGTGCTGGAAGAATATTTTTAGCAGTGGCATGTGTGTAAATCTACCATGCCTGTAGGTTTGTGATCGTCAATTGCACACATGAACCCTTACAAACATTTTGGGCAACATGGTTTCACTAGGGTTGGAAGTGGATCTTTGTCATCAGAATCATCATGTTTATCAGTGAAAAATGCCTTCATCGGTTCATCAATTAAACCATGAGGAAACTTGCACAACTAGTTTATAATGGAGGTTTGTGTCTGTGTAAGGGTCAGGCTATTGGATATTCTGGGTGGGGCCTAGCTGGCATCTTGTAGGAAAACTGGATATTTCTTCAGTCATAGCAACAAAATCAGGCATGATTTTTTTATTAAAACTATGAGCCTTACATATTTTGGGTATTTTTAAATCATCTTGCTGCAACAGTTTCCCTTCTTCATCAGTCTTAAACAGAATTATGATCTTGTGGCTCATGTGTGTCTAATTCAGATTCAAAGAACAACCCCTGAAGATGCATTGTGAGTCTAACTGGGTGGATGTCCCTGTGAACACGTCTATTACTGTGTGATGGGTGTGACCAATTTGTGATTGATCTACTTAACCACATAGGACCTGTGTAACAGCTGAGGAATGTGCCGGGGTGATTGCAATAGGGAATCACTGAAGCGAACAGTTGGGCAGAAAAAGTGGCGATTATGTCCTGCTTTTATTTTGGGTAGAGCCAGAACGTTATTTTAGCCAATGTCAGCCATATTCCAGCTGCCTCGAGAGTCTGGGATGATACACGCCAGGGTTAATTATCTCACTGTCTCATGATGCACTGACACATCTCTTTTAAGTACACTATTCAAGGGGGCGGTCGGGTAGCCTAGTGGTTACAGCGTTCGCTCGTCATGCCGAAGACCCGGGTTCGATTCCCCACATGGGTACAATATGTAAATCCCATTTCTGGTGTCCCCCGCCGTGATATAGCTGGAATATTGCTAAAAGCGGCGTAAAACTAAACTCACTCACTCACACTATTCAAACTGGAGGACATGTGCACTTGTTATATGTTTGTGGCCAACGAAGTATAATGAATGTGGTAGTCTGAATCGATGACATGGTTGATTGTTTGTGATCATATCACAGTAATACAGACTGTTGCTAGCTGTAGTTTTTATCATTTGTCTCATCCAGACTTCATTATTTACAGGCTTTGTCATGATGGTCTAATACTGCGAAAAACATCAAACAAAACATGTTCAGAAGGTGACTGGATTGCCTCCTCAAGGCCTTAGCTTTCTGGACTATAGTCACTTTTCAAAAAAGATGCACAAGAAGAAATATAGTCATCCCCTCGCATTAACGCCCTTTTCGATACCACGATTTCGGTTAAAACTGGGGGTAATCTGTAGCTCCCATATAAACCCAAAGGTTCCTCAGCCACCACACATCTTCATGTCATCGGAAATAGCCTATCAACAAATCCGTGGTTGTACGCAGGGTAATCCTGTGCTGGACAGTTGGTATTTTCACACTTTATACAGGTCAGTTGGTATTGTCACACTCAGTTAACATTGTCACCTAAAAGGCAACTCATACAAGATTAAACAGTCAGTTGACATTGTCACACAAAAGGTTACTCATACAAGATAAAACACTCAGTTAACATTATCACACAAAAGGCAATTCATACAAGATAAAAAAGTCACTTAACATTGTCATACAAAAGGTAACTCATACAAGATAACACAGTCAGTTAACATTGTCACACAAAAGGCAACTCGGCAACTCATACAAGATAACACAGTCAGTTAACATTGTCACACAAAAGGCAACTCGGCAACTCATACAAGATAAAACTGTCAGATAACATTATCACACAAAAGGTTACTCATACAAGATAAAACACTCAGTTAGCATTGTCACACAAAAGGCAACTCATACAAGATAAAACAGTCAGTTAGCATTGTCACACAAAAGGTTACTCATACAAGATAAAACAGTCAGTTAGCATTGTCACACAAAAGGCAATTCATACAAGATAAAACAGTCAGTTAGCATTGTCACACAAAAGGTTACTCATACAAGATAAAACAGTCAGTTAGCATTGTCACACAAAGGCAATTCATACAAGATAAAACAGTCAGTTAGCATTGTCGCACAAAGGTTACTCATACAAGATAAAACAGTCAGTTAGCATTGTCACACAAAAGGTTACTCATACAAGATAAAACAGTCAGTTAGCATTGTCACACAAAAGGCAATTCATACAAGATAAAACAGTCAGTTAGCATTGTCACACAAAAGGTTACTCATACAAGATAAAACAGTCAGTTAGCATTGTCACACAAAAGGCAATTCATACAAGATAAAACAGTCAGTTAGCATTGTCTGGCACAAAAGGTTACTCATACAAGATAAAACAGTCAGTTAGCATTGTCACACAAAAGGCAATTCATACAAGATAAAACAGTCAGTTAGCATTGTCACACAAAAGGTTACTCATACAAGATAAAACAGTCAGTTAGCATTGTCACACAAAAGGTTACTCATACAAGATAAAACAGTCAGTTAGCATTGTCACACAAAAGGCAATTCATACAAGATAAAACAGTCAGTTAGCATTGTCACACAAAAGGTTACTCATACAAGATAAAACAGTCAGTTAGCATTGTCACACAAAAGGCAATTCATACAAGATAAAACAGTCAGTTAGCATTGTCGCACAAAAGGTTACTCATACAAGATAAAACAGTCAGTTAGCATTGTCACACAAAAGGTTACTCATACAAGATAAAACAGTCAGTTAGCATTGTCACACAAAAGGCAATTCATACAAGATAAAACAGTCAGTTAGCATTGTCACACAAAAGGTTACTCATACAAGATAAAACAGTCAGTTAGCATTGTCACACAAAAGGCAATTCATACAAGATAAAACAGTCAGTTAGCATTGTCGCACAAAAGGTTACTCATACAAGATAAAACAGTCAGTTAGCATTGTCACACAAAAGGCAATTCATACAAGATAAAACAGTCAGTTAGCATTGTCACACAAAAGGTTACTCATACAAGATAAAACAGTCAGTTAACACTGTCACACAAAAGGCAACTCATACAAGATTAAACGGTCAGTAAACATTGTCACGCAAAAGGCAACTCATTCAAGATAAAACACTCAGTTAACATTGTCGCACAAAAGGCAACTCATACAAGATAAAACAGTCAGTTTAACATTGTCACACAAAAGGAAACTCATACAAGATTAAACAGCCAGTTAATGTTGTCACAACAGATTTAACCATCAGTTAACCTTGTATCACAAAATGCAACAGTCACTTAACATAGTCACGAGATTCAGCACCTGGTAAACTCACACAAAATTCAAATGGCTATTAACATTGCCAAACAACATGCAATAGTCATTTAGAATTGTCACACGAAGTAAAACAGCCTGTGAACATTGTAGACTATTGTTGCAAAATATGGAACAGTCAATGAATATTGTCAACCAAGGTCATTGTTACACAATATGTATGACAGGACATTACCATTATCACACAAAATGAAAAGTAAACATTGTCACACATGATGATATCATGTTTGTTTCACAAAACAACACATTGTATGTTGTTTATGCAATATTAGAAATAGATGGAAGCAGAGTCGGGTTGTTGAGGTTTGCTGCTGTTGGAACGATTCTGGGTTCTATAGGTTCTGTAAGGTTCTCAAGAGGACCCCTTGTCTTTCATCCTTTGTTTTCAACACAGATGTATCACCGTGGGCGGAACAATGAACTCTCCAATATTGAATTAATGTTCATGTGAGTAGATTGCTTATATTCAGCCATGTTATGACGGATAATCCATGGGGACGTCTTTTTAGCTTCTGCATTTTGGACTGATGGGTCTGGAAGTAGCAGTCTGCATGCTGCTCCTCTGTCAGAGAAGACTGGCATGAAACTGACATGTTTTTATTGATTTCTTTCAGTGATGGCACACAAGTGCTTTGGTAGCTATAGCCTGATGGTGAAGCCACCTGCATGCATGTTTATATTAGCTGTGGAATTTGGTCATTGCAAGCACTTATAGACTGAATTTTGTCTGGCATGATTTTTGTAAACTGAAATGATCTCCATAGAATGAAAATTACATGAACTGGTCAAGGTATCAGTTCCAGCAAGTTTGATTGTGAACTTAGCAGTCTATTAGTAGGTGAAATTGGGTTTTACGTTGTGCTTGAGAATATTTCGCTCATATGACGATGTGCATGCGTGTGTATGTGTACGTGCGGCTGCTTGTACTAGCCCAGACTGAAGCTGGTTTTACAGTGCTAGCCCACTGAGATACCATGCCGCAGTGAAGCATGAATACCCCACTCAGCCACATTATACTGACTCCGAGCCGACCAGTCCTTGTTGTACCCATTAATGCCGAGCGCCAGGCAGGGACCAACAAGTACCATATTTTAACATCTTTTGGTATGATGCGGTCATGGATCGAACCCGCGACCTTCCGCTCTCCGGGCGGACGCTCTAACCACTACACCACGGAGGCGGTCCCTATTGGTTTAGAGTTGTCTGTATCCCAGTATATCATTGACCAGAGAGATAAACTACCAGTGATGCCATGCTACACTACTGATGGTATCAACTGACTGACTGACTGACTGAGTTTGGTTTTACGCCGCTTTTAGCAATATTCCAGCAACATCACGGCGGGGGACACCAGAAATGGGCTTCACACATTGTGCCCATGTGGGGATTCGAACCCGGGTCTTCGGCGTGACGAGCCAACGCTTTAACCATTAGACTACCCCACCGCCCCGATGATGGTATCAACAGGTGAAAACATAGGAAATAAGGATTTCAATAAAAAATACACCTTATTTGGAAAGAGGTTTGATTATAGACTGCTGATTGATTAATTGCATTTATCTCGCACATTGTATAAATATTCTCTCCATCCATTGCATAAACATACAACTTAATCTCTTTGAACTCTGTAAATTTCAATCAAAACACATCACTTTATCTCTTTACATCTCAATTGGTAATACTATCTCACTGGCTTCCTGTACATACTATGTATTTCACACCATATTCTGTCATTCACCTGATGAACAGGCAAGAAGTAACCCAGAAACGTTGTGTTGTAAATATTAAAGAAGTTGTAAATCCATACCATACGTTGTTATGTTACCTTCCAACTCCTAAATGCCCAACAAGCATTTGAATTTTGATAAATAAGAACAAGCGTAGAAATTACAAGCACACAATGGTAAGATGTGAATCCATTACCTCTCTGAAGTTATCTACTGAATGTGGGATGTGGCTGCATGTGAGGTTGTTTCATCGTTAACTGAGGAAGGAAATTGACAGTGTTTTTTTCCTCATTTAAGGCTACACTTAGCAATATTCCACTAAATGACTGCAGCGTGTTGGTCTGAACCAGGCAATCCAGTGATTTATATAATATATTACATTATATTAATACACAGTTTTAGGGGTACAATGGCATGTCCTATGGCAAGTCACCATCCTTTAAACAACTTATGATAAATGTTGACATGGCATATTTATTAGATTGTTAAGTTAAGGCAGGAAACCATTCATTCATTCATTCATTCGTTCATTCTAAATTAACAACAAACTCTGCTATATGATGAAGCCTGTATATACCAGCAGGGAGACACTAGAAATGGTCTTCACATATTATACCCATGTGCCGAATCAGACCGAACCGGGGCCTTTGAATGCTTCAACCACTAGGCTACCCAACTGCCTCTACTCCCGCAGAAGTAAACAGTGTTTGAAATTAATCAGGAATGTCAAGGCGGCATTGTCACAACTCTAATTAACTCATGGGTTAAACATACTTTTGTTTCACAAAAACTGAAACCTGGATAGACGAGCAAGCCCAGTATATTAACTAATGGCAGTATTGGTAGTTCCTTGCTATCTGAGGAGCAATAGATTACTGCAGGAGCAGTGATCTCAGAGACCGCACGACCTCACACTGGTATATATAACCCCGAAGTCATAACCTGCTCTGTTTGCCTGCTAATAAATCAGACATCCAATGATCTCCTGGATGCCAGAATGTCAGGATCTCAGTTTCATGGATAACTTGGCAGGAAGAACAAAATGTGCCCTAAGTCTGGTAACTGGCACATGAGAGTGGGGGACTGTCCATCTTCAACCCAATAATTTGACTGAAACTTCACTCGTGGTGACATTCTGTGATTTATAGCAGGCACCGACTGTGTTTTACACGGAAGTTGTATGCTACTAGGATCTGATAATGAAGGTTTTCTACAGAGATACTCCTTGATTGTGTCGTATGTGGTGAACGTCTAGACTGCGTCCAGTAGATGTCCTGTCTGAATTGGAATACTGTCGTTCATTTGCAAGACTGGCCAATTACTGCCAATTTGAACAGTGTCATCAAACCATGTCTTTAGACGTGAAACAATCTGTATAGAAACCAAAGTCAGGAGGAGGAGTGAATGAGATACCATGTATGGGACTTTTCCGTTATTCTTGCCATTTCATAGAAATTGATATCTGAAGAGTGGTTTCACACATTCTTACCATGTGTTGGTTCAAACCCCACAGTTCGATGTGATGAACCATTGCTTTCACAAACACGCCACCTTAAGCCACAGCCATTTGCATGATGAATTGAATTTAACATTTAGTTCAAGGTTATTTCACTTAAAGAAGGTGGGTACCCGTGAGTGTGTATCTGTTCTAATAGTACCGACTTATGGTGCTGTCTAGCATGGATTCCCCTCTCAGAAATGGTACACTGCAGCTAACTCCAAGTCGAGTTGTGGTGGTGGGGTAGCCTAGTGGTTAGAGCGTTCGCTTGTCACGCTGAAGACCCGGGTTCGATTCCCCACATGGGTACAAAGTGTGAATCCCATTTCTGGTGTCCCCCACTGTGAAAATTTGCTGGAGTATTGCCAAAAGCAGCGTAAAACCCAACTCACTCACTCACTCCAAGTCAAGTGGTCGCTATTTGGTTATTTTATCGTCTTCATGTCAAGCTTCAGGAAGGGTGACAACTGCCATCTTTCGGCATCTCTTGGTATGTCACAGCCAAGGAATCAAGTCATTTAGAAAGACAGTGAGGTCATATGTTCAAAACTGATGCAGACTTCCAATATAAGCATGATCAATTCCATGTCTGAAGCCAGTAAAAATTGTTTAGCCAAGCAAAATTCTCCAACATTAATGGATATATTACCTATTACATCAGCACAAATGTTCGTCTTTGCCCCACGTGTCATGGTTGGAGATGTTAGGTATGTAGTTTAGGTGTGACATGCCAACACGTCATCCACTTGGCCACCTGCCATCTGGCCATGATCTGATGGTTGTGGATCCCATATGTGTTAATTTGACATTTCTCGTGTCAAATTTCTCAAGTTCTCAATCAAATATTTATTTTAAAGGAGATATACAGTACAAATTTAAAATCAAATAATTTATAAAGCATGTAAAAACAAGTATCTTGAAAACAAGAAGTTTTTCTAAAGTCAATATTTGTTGTCCAAAATGTTAAGAAAGTATAGCGGAATGTTTTATATGCTATTTCCGATGATATATCATATATTATGGATGTCTAACACATCTTCATTTATACCAGTTATTCTGACATTAACTTAAAAACATGCATGTAATGTATGTGGTTATGGGTATTAACCATGAATTTTTAAATGAGAAAATAATTGATTTAAATTGATATTAGGGCTAATGAATACAGTGGGTGCAGGACAGTTGCCACCTGGGACAATTGCCACCTGGGACAATTGCCACCGGGAAAATTACCACCTGCACAATTACCACCTGGACAATTGCCACCTGGGACAATTGCCACCTGGGACAATTACCACCCGCCACCACCTGCACAATTACCACAATTACCACCTGGACAATTACCACCTGCACAATGCCACCAGGGACAATTGCCACCAGGGACAATTACCACCTGTACCACCTGGACAATTGCCACCTGGGACAATTACCACCTGCACAATTGCCACCAGGGACAATTGCCACCAGGGACAATTGCCACCAGGACAATTGCCACCAGGGACAATTGCCACCTGGACAATTGCCACCTGGGATAACTGCCACCAGGGACAATTGCCACCAGGGACAATTGCCACCAGGGACAATTGCCACCAGGGTCAATTGCCACCAGGGACAATTACCACCTGGACAATTGCCACCAGGGACAATTGCCACCTGGACAATTGCCACCTGGACAATTGCCACCTGGGATAATTGCCACCAGGGACAATTGCCACCAGGGACAATTGCCATCTGGGACAATTGCCACCTGGACAATTGCCACCAGGGACAATTGCCACCAGGGACAATTACCACCTGGACAATTACCACCTGGACAATTATCACCTAGGACAATTGCCACCTGGGACAATTGCCACCTAGGACAATTGCTACAGCACAGTACTAGTTCACCTAAAATTTCCTAAACATTGTTTTAAAAGTGTTTATTGATCAAATGAACTTGTTGATCTGCAAATGAATAATTTTCACCAGCCTTATGCACAAACATCAGATCAATAGTAGGTCATTAGCAGGATTTTGTATTAATTTGGTTGATGCCATCAATGTAATGGTGCACTTGTAATAACTGAATATGGTGATGATGATGATGATGATGGTGGTGATGAAGACAATAATGATGATGATGATGATGATTCATAAACACAAACTCATGCTCATCAGAACTGTACAATAACCCCTTCTTGAAGCAGATATTTATGATAGACATGGAAAGGTTTGTTTAGCTTTCTTCTTTTTAATACCATTAGTCATAATTTGTCTGCTCTGTAGTTACTAATATATAATCATGCTTTTTGTGATGTGTTTTCATGTTCAGGTTTTGGAGCCACAACACATGAAAGAAAAGGGTTTGCATATTGTAAATGAATATATTTATAAGTGATTATAGATCAAAGGAATAACTGATAATTTTAAAATATATTAATATATCAAATAGGTTTTTCTCCACAAGTGATTACATTTGTGATTGCATCAATAATTGTAGCGTCAGTAATTGCAGCATCAGTAATTGCAGAGAGAACCCCCATGGTCCGATGGATTCTGTTCACTTTGTTAGATTGAGGTTAAACTGTGACGTGTAGTGACTGAGTGAGTTTAGTTTTATGCCGCACTCAACGATAATGGCGATGGTCTGTAAATAATCTGAACCAGACAATCTGGTGATGAAAAGCATGAGCATGGATCTTCGCAGTTGAGATACAATGACATGTGTCAACTAAGTCAGCAAGCCTGACCACCCGATCCCGTTAGTCGCCTTTTACGACAAGCATGGGTTGCTGAAGATCAATTCTAACCCGGATCTTCAGGGGTAAACTGTGTGGTATGTAGGACTGGTACAGGTAACCCAGCTACACAGGGTCGGGTGGGCCCCGTGTACCTGGGTACCCACTACACTATCCGAACCCATGGTTAGTCACGTGATATTTTGTGTTTCGAAAATAACAAAAAAAACTCCTTGGGTACATTTCGTCTGTCATCCATACCCGGAAACAGTTATATCGACTCATCATGCTGATGACCTGGGTTCGATTCCCTACATGGATACAATGTGGGAAGCATATCCCTTGTGTATTAAAAAGAATGGTGTATTTCCCAAAAGACAAAAGGAACATCTTGGATGCAGACAGAGTTGACGCTTCCAACAAGTGACATTCCCAGTCGTGTTTTGGTGTTATGGATAGGAGAAAGCACTTCCCTTCGGTTTTGGTAGAGAATGTAAAACTGTGGGATTTCCCTCCTCCCAAGGTTTTACATTCTCTACCAAAACCGAAGGGAAGTGCTTTCTCTAACATATAAACCGTCAATGATGGATGAGTATTATGTAGATGATCATTGAAAGAAGCTACAAAACAATTACTGAAGCGCAAGTAAAATCAATTTAATGACAGTAACTATAAATAGATAATTCCACCCCAACGTCTTCGCCGGCTCGGTGGCCGTGAGGTAGAGCGTCCGCTCAATGACCTGAAGAATGCGGTCCCAATTTACCTTGAGAAAACATTTGCACTCCAAACACTCATATATCATTTGAATGTTGATGTTCATATAGAGTTAGAAAAAAATAATTACAAAAAGTAAAACCTGGGAAGAGGTCTTACTTACAAAAAGTAAAACCTGAGAGCAAACAAAAGCCTCAAATGTGGTTATTCCGGGAAACAAGAAATGCTTAATATATAGTGAGAAGCACCCTTCAGGTTTATATTTATGTGTACCTATAATCTTGCTATCTTGTAACTGAGTTTAAAAGATTTTGTTCAGTTTAAAAGATTATGTCCATCAATATTGAAAAAGTATGTATTCTTATGACAGACAAGTGACTTGCATCACTATATTTTTGTATTTTAACACAAAATGTGTAAGAATCTTTGTGTGGTGAGGCATGGTATGATGTCAAAATACTCGCAACAAATTTGACCAATGTATGACCAAATCATGTACATTCAGCCTGACCAAAACCTTATATCCCCACTTTCTACATATAATGACAAATGCTTTTCTTCAAGAGTGCAGTAGACATATTTGTGAGGTGAGGGAAGTTTCAGGATCAGGATCATATTTAAATTTTAAAGAGTATTTTATTGATTGAATGAACTTGTTGATCTACAAATGAATTCTCACTCATGTTATGGACAAAAACATCAGCTTGATAGGAAGTCATCAACAATATTTGTGTGGTTGGTGCCATTGATGTAAAAGATAATGGTACTCTCTACTGATAACTGATGATGATGATGATGATGATGATGATGATGATGATGATGATGGAGTAAAACCATCTGATGATCTGTGAACTTGCAAAGCACTTAGATAAGACATTTAAGATTTAATCATTAAAGATTTCATATGAAAAATATCTTCAACCCTTCGTCATCGAGATGATGATGATGATGATGATGATGATGATGATGATGATGATGATGATGATGATGATGATGATGATGATGGAGTAAAACCATCTGATTATCTGTGAACTTGCGAAGCACTTAGATAAGACATTTATGATTTAATCATTAAAGATTTCATATGAAAAACATCTTCAACCCTTCGTCATCGAGATGATGATGATGATGATGATGGTGGTCATGGTGGTGGAAAAACCATACCATGATATGGAATCTGAGTTGTTTACTAGTTCATCAATAGCAACAAGGTAATTAACTGGTGTGAATGGTCCTTGTCACCTTACCAGTATTAAATATCCAGGATGCAACTGTTCTGCAAACTAAATCGTTGTACTTTCTGGCTGTTCCGCTGAAATACCAGGAGGCCATGAATCTATTAAACAGTAAGGCTAAGTAGGTTCATGGAAAATTTAGGTTGTAGCAAAAACATTGATTCTTGTGATGTCTCCGGAGACAAGGCTATGGTTTATTTACACTGTCTTCTTGCCCTTGATTACCAAGAACATGCATTAGCAGGATCGGCACATAAAGGCTGTGGTATGTTCTGTGTCAGATATCGGAGCAATGCATGATGTGATATCATCTCGATCAAGTCGAGACTCCACGAATATGAGGACATAAGTAGACAGAATGAAATGCGATTGATATAAGGGTTCACCCGGTCAGTACATGGAGACTTTCATTGTCTTTTCATTATTAATTACTTCTGGTGGTTTGGCCTGCCATGGACAACAAGCCGTCTGCTGTGTATGGGAAGAGCAGACGCAGCAGTATTTGAAACAGGCTTGTGCTGGCTTCTTCAGGGCTTATATGACTCTGGTACTTGAAGATCAAATGGGCTTGTGTGGCTAACAGAATCTTTACTTCTTCGGTATCTGTACCCAGTTGACTTGTTGTGACAATTCCCAGACGCCTGTAGGGACTTGCAGTACATCTCAGTGTTACGGAGGGGGAGGGTCAGTCCACTATATACAGAATTTAAGGGGAATCTGTGTTCTTCTTTGAGTGTCATCTTAGAAGTGGGGATATATAATATTGAACAGATATCAATAACAGCTATTTTTATATCGTGAGTGCGTTGTCATTCCTGCAAACATCACACTCACGAAAGAAAAGAAGTTGTTATCCATAAAGTTTGTCCAATATAGAATCTATGTTCCTTGATAATTTTCCGTCAGATTTTAGTTGAGACCCATCAGCATATTGAGTCCAGTCAAGCCTTGACTCTCTGAGGTTTAGTCTGACGTTAGAACACTTTCTATTTCATTCTCTACCAGTGTGTAAATGAAGGTATTTTAAGATAGGTTGTGTTTGTGATGTTTATTTACATTGGTAAGCTTTAGTATGACTTCTTGGGTGATGGGGTAGCCTATATAAAGCGTTCACTTGTCATGCTGAAAACCCAGGTTTAATTCCCCACATGGGTACAATGTGTCAATTTCTGTTATCCCCCGCCGTGATATTGCTGGAATATTGCTAAAAGCGGTGTAAAACTAATCTCACTCACTAACACACTCACTCACTCACTCACTCACTTACTCCACTCACTCACATCACTCACTCACCTCAACTCACTCAACCACTCACTCACTCACCTCAACTCAATCAACCACTCACTCACTCACACTAACACACCTCATTTACTCACTCACTCCACTCACTCACTCACCTCCACTCACTCACCTCAACTCACTCACTCACTCGCTCACTCACACTAACACTCACCTCATTCACTCGCTCGCTCGCTCACTCACTCACTCACTTCCCTCACTCACTCCCCTCAACTCACTCACTCACTCACTCCCCTCACTCATTCCCCTCAACTCACTCACTCACTCACTTACTTCCCTCACTCCCTCACTCACTCACTCACTCACTCACTCACTCACTCACTCACTCACTCACTCACTCACTCACTCACTCACTCACTCCACTTTCACTGACACAAAGGATAGCTATATGAAGTTATGTGATGAAACCCAAGATTCTTATGTAGATTTAATAAGATATTGTAACTGTATATAGTCAGATAGGCTCCTCTTTTGGGATGTTCTCTCGTCCAAAGTAATGACATATAGAGACAGCTAAGGCTGTTAGTGTCTCAATACAAGAAGGAATGCTCTCTCATCAAGAGCCCCAGTAGTGTTTGAAAAGTGTTCTTCTGAAAGCTCTCATCTTATTCCTGAAGAAAGACATCTTTGAAAAGTGGAGAAAGTTGTGCATTTCCTTCATGTATTGAACAATAACGCTGGAATGAAAGATGTAGTTTACCATTCTAAATACTTTCAACAACTCTCAGCAAATACATTAAAAATAGTAGACTTTGAAAGATGCATGTTAGTAAAAGGGTTTATTCCCTGGTAGATCTTTAATCAGCGAGGTATTAGCCGCTTGTTACCTTCTTCAATATGAAACTGGACAAGATCACAGAATGCCTCACGGATGGGCACACGTCACAGACAGAGC